AGAGGGAGAGAGAGAGAGAGAGAGAGAGAGAGAGAGAGACCTTGGCCCGGTGGCACCATCTCCTGAGTCTTGGCTCCCTGCTTCACTTGGACTGCCTGCAGATTTGGCCGTGGGAGACATGTGTGTAGGAACTAAAGAAAGAAAGACAAACATACTTTCATCTACATACCCTCCAAAACATTGGGACAATTCAATCACACGTAATGCATGTGCACTCAAAAGTTACTAGAGCTTTTCTCCTCACTAACTTCACTTTTCTGAGACATTTTGTCTGATGAACTAGTGTTTTGATGATTTTTAGCAGATGTATGCACATTACTGGTCAAAAGTTTGGAATAATACGATTTTTAATATTTTTGAAAGAAGTCTCTTATACTTACCAAGGCTATTTATTTGACTATAAAAACAGTAATATTGAGAAACACTACTACAATTTCAGACACAATTTCAGAACAGTTTTCCATTTTAATATATTTTAAAACTGAATTTATTTTTGTGATGGACAAGCTGAATTTACTGCTGTCTTCAGTGTCACATGATCCTTCAGAAATCCTTCTAATATGCTGATATGCTGCTCAATAATTATTAGAGACACTTCTTTAAAAAATATTTTAAGAATTTAAATGATCCCAAACTTTGTAACCACTACTGCAGCACTAAAAACAATTAATTAGCAATAATAAACAATAATAATAAAAAAACACAATCAAACTAATCACAAATATATGTGTGTGTGTGTGTGTGTGTGTGTGTGTTAAATGCAATAATAAACAATAATAATAAAAAAACACAATCAAACTAATCACAAATATATGTGTGTGTGTGTGTGTGTGTTAAATGATTGTTAGTTTGTCTTGGTCACACGCATTAAAGTTGAGATTTTGAGCATGCAAATTTTGACAAAGTTTGTCAACATTTTTAGCCCGTTTTAACAATACTGTAATTTATATGTACAGCGTTCAGATATAAAATGTGTCATAAATACTACATCTTAGCTAAAAGTGTTTGATGAAATTAGCTGCCCACCATCAAAACTACTGTGGTGCACTTCTGCCCCCTTGTGTTCAATCAATATAGTACACTACACTAGGTTTCTCCATTTGTTGGTAGCACTCTCAAAGGAACTAGTGCTGTTAAATATCAGCTTGAAATCTGGTCCACATAGCATATTATTGACTTAGACTGCAAGGGGTCGTCTTGCTGATGCATAAAGGGATCTCATATTCCAGGGATATTTTATATTAGAAGTCTGACTGACACTACAGTGGACGTGGCTCGGGTGCACAGCTGACTTACCCACAGGTGCGTTTGGTGTGATGCCCATACTCTGTAGCAGAGCATCAGCCTCCCTGCGCTTTTTCTCCAGGTCTGAATCATCCTGCAGTGGGACGGGCTCCTTCTTCAGCTCAGCCTGACACAAACAAAACAGAGTGAAACAAACACGTCATCAAAAAACTAACCTGTTTTTCTGTTGTTCCCAAAAAACAAAAACCAGCAATCTGACTCTGTTTACTTCCTACTGCATTTACTCAGTGTTGACTGCATTCATCAAGCTCACCCACTCAGCCCTGTTACTAAAGTTACTGCAAGAAAAATGATTAAACATAAACATATATTTCTGTTTTCATTTATAGGAAAAGTAAGTTTATCAATAACTGGAAACTAACACTGTCTAACTATCAAGACCTTTGCAAATGTCAAAAGAAATAAAAAATACCTAACCTCAAATGTGACCCTGGAGCACAAAAGCAGTCTTAAGTCGCTGGGGTATATTTGTAGCAATAGCCAACAATACATTGTATGGGTCAAAATTATTGATTTTTCTTTTATGCCAAAAATCATTAGGATATTAAGTAAAGATCATGTTCCATGAAGATATTTTGTAAATTTCCTATTGTAAACATATCAAAACTTAATTTTTGATTAGTATATGCATTGCTAAGAACTTCATTTGGACAACTTTAAAGGTGATTTTCTCAATATTTCGATTTTTTTGCACTCTCAGATTCCAGATTTTCAAATAATTGTATCTCGGCCAAATATTGTCCTATCCTAACAAACCATACATCAATGGAAAGCTTATTTATTCAGTTTTTGACCCTTATGACTGGTTTTGTGGTCCAGGGTCACATATGAAAAGAATAGAAAACAATCAACACATAACTAATATTACATAAGCTTATATCATAAAAGCTAATATGTTATTTGACCTCTCAAGTTTGACAGAACTTACTGGCTATTTGTAGAAAAAGAAGGGGGAAAAAAGGCTCTTTTGTACTGCATTCATGAAATGTGCCTGAAAATCTGCAGATAGAGCTGAAGTATCTGGTGGATTGATTGCTTAAACAATATTAATACAAGTAAAAAAGTAGAGTATGGCGTGTTTTCACCTCTTTTTTCTTGCGTTCCTCCTCCTTTCTCTTCTTCTCCTCTCTTATCTGAGCCAAACGCTGTTTCTTTCGCTCAAGCTCAGCTTTCAGCTCACTTTTATCCGACATTATGCTTTACAAAACACAGACAAAACTCAAGTTAGTGTCAGGAAGACAGAAAGCCAGTTATCATGTAGGTTTTTTCTGTATTTATTTTCTCTGTATTCTGTATTTTTTTTATTGAAACTAATTGAAACTTTTTTTTCCATGTTAAACTGTGAAGCTGCTTTGACAATCTGTATTTTGTAAAGTGCTACAGAAATAAATGTAACTCGACTTGATAAAATGAGAATATGGGGCTCATACTCAAGGAGAAAAACACTTAATTTTTTTTTCAGAAGCCCAAAACTGAGCAAAATAAAGCAATTTGGTGCAGATGCTATTTATATGGCCAAAAAGAAAGATGAAATTCTGATAGCTTGGAATGTAGGCTAATTCAATGATCTTAATAACAATATAACAACATATCATTATAATATATAATAAATATAATATATATATAATATATGAGAATATAACAGAGTGAAAAACTGAAGGGGGTCTGAATACTTTCCGTACCCACTGTATATAAATAGCAGATGTCATTTTATATCTCCCTTGTATTAAGATAATCAAATGCTTAGTTTTATGATCAAAGCTCAGTAGTTTTCATTATGGGGGCTAAACATATAATACAATACAATACAATAATAACTGAGAGATGAACAAATAAACGTTGCCCATAAACCTTGATTTACTATATTTGATACTCACATTTGAACATGATTTTTTCCAAATGATTTATGTATAATTAAGTGAACCTAAGTTGCTTCAGTTCAGTAAGTGTTCATCTTAAAATTTACAAACAATATAAAAGTTATTCTCGTGTTTACTTTATAAAAATCAGTAAAGATTTCACAACAAAAAGACAGCCTAACAGTTTTACAATTATATTAGAAGCTCTTTTACTTTCTAAAAGCTACCAATCAGATGGCAGGTTTATTAAGGTTGTGTACAACAGGTTTTTCAGCAACGTTTTGATCATGTTGATAATTTAGAGGCCTTATAAATTTGCATATCAAATATGATACAGTAAGTGAGAAGCACCTGTCATAAATAATATACCAGCTCATACAATAAACATTATTCAACTGATCAGCATCATCTGCAGTTTTTCATTGCATCTCATTATGACAAAACTTGTGTTAGTGTTGCTCATTCATACATTGATTTGTATCAAAGCGACTGCTGAATGATAAAATGTAAATCTGGGTCATTGGACGAAATCGGTGCCTTTTCCACTTGGAAAAATTGAAAAATAAAATAAGTTTAATCAATATTTTTTTAAATATACATGAAATGAAGACACCTTAAAATGACAAGAATTTGTATTGTGCCATCTCAGGCTATGTAGTTTATTATTTTATGACTATTTTTCTACCTCATGTTTTGGTATTTTTGTCAACCCTGTTACCGACACAAGCATTACTAGATACTATAGTTTAATCAGAACTCATATGCCACTGAATGATATAGGCATTAGCTCAATAATATACAGAGGGTGACCTTTAAAATGCAAAAGTGCCTGTTTGGCAATATTTTGGATTTTGAAAAGCCTGTTGACTTTTGCCGTTTATCTAAGGTGATTTTGGAAGTTTTTTTAAACATTTGTTTCTTATTTCATTGGTTCCACATTTTTGGCTGATTTTTACTTTATTTAAACTTTGTGTCATTTATTTATTTTATTTGACATCAAGGTGTATGCCGTGCCTCCGAGCTTTCTTACTCGTTTTGCTAATACACGTTCTACGTTTCTTATTTATTTGGTTATATATTATACGTTTACTTAGCCTATTTCCAGTTTTGTATACCTATTTAAACTTTACGTAAGTTATTTGTTATTTTATATTAGGCATAGCCTGCCCTTTAGCATGGTGTATTTTTTTGTTTTGTTAATAAAAGTTATATGTTTTATATATAGTATAAAGTGAGTTTGACGTTGTATTTTGTTGTTGCATTCAAGCAATTGACGCTGAACTGCCACTAATTCGAAAGTGAAAGTAAAATGTGCACGCTGCTTTTACAAGTTATTTAAAAGTGAAGGAAAGCGAGGAAAAGAGGAAAAATTCAAACAAACTAAAAGCGAAAAATTGCTTTACACCGAATTGCCGCTATTTGAAAGTGAAAGTAAGGGAAAGCCAGAAAAAGAGGGAACGCCCCGCCCCAGCGGTGATACCGGTATTGTCACACATCGATTAACCGGTGGGAAAATTTCCTCACCGTCACAACCCTAGTTGCTAGCTAATAGTCAAGTTCACAAAAGCACATACTGTACACTTTGAAAGGATTTTACTTGTAGAAATTTTTTTTTTTAAATTTAGATTTTTAAAATGGTAACAGGATTGACATTGCATGAAATCAGGGGACACCAATAAAACGATTTAAATTTTATAGAAAAAAAATGCATAATTATGCCAAAAACATTGTTTAACAATGAGACTAAATTTAGAACAATATGCAAATGTGATTTTTATATAATTTTGCCTTCATTTAGCAAATTAAAAGTCCTTCTGAAAAAGAAAAATCATAGTGGTTTAAATTTACATTTTAAAAATGGTAACAGGATTGACATTGCATGAAATCAGGGGACACCAATAAAACGATTTAAATTTTATAGAAAAAAATGCATAATTATGCCAAAAACATTGTTTAACAATGAGACTACATTTAGAACAATGTGCAAATGTGATTTTTATATCATTTTGCCTTCATTTAGCAAATTAAAAGTCCTTCTGAAAAAGAAAAATCATAGTTAGGGACAGGCCAATTATTATTATTATATAAATTAATATTTAATTGACTTTTTTTATGTAATATTGATGAAAGCATACATAGTATTGCTTTGTTTTTAAATTGCACACTTATTTGTTGTTATATCAAATCTATGTTTGATTATTTCTGAGGGATGCAAAAGGCTCTGACTTCGAGTAATGACCCATCTACAAAACAGATATTTGACTTACATATACATATCTAACCAAGTGCTGCTTACTGTAAAGAAATAAATGTTATTAGGCTCTTCTATCAACACCGATTACCAAAATCACTGTAGCACACAACCTTCAGTGTCTCATTTCGATTAACATCCTCAGCAGATAGTAAAACATATTCACAGAGGACCATAAACCGCAGAGGGAAAGAGAGAGACCCCTTCACCTGGTCTCAGGACCCCATTCACTGCCGCCTGTCTGTCGGCCCGTCCCAGCCTCTTCAGACAGATTAACAGGATCACGCTTGTGTCTCTAATCTGTCTTTTGTGTGCCGCAGCACCTGACTCTCTCCACAGAGCACACTCTCTACAGCGCTTAATGACCAAATTAAAACATGCACTTGAAAAACAAAGAGGGAACGGCCTAATCTCTCACTGAGGATTACAGAACAGATTTATCATTCGCTCCGATATTTTCTGCCATCTGCATGAGTCCTGATACATCACAGCAAAACCCGTGATCTTAGGAGGAGTTTACAGCACAATATAACCACTGTTAAACTGAACACTTCAAAAATAGAGTAGCAGTTTATTCTACTAACTTCCTATCTGGTCCAAAGGGCAACAAATACGGCAGGATCTTTTCTCAAAACTACATTATTCCTGCTCGTAACAGATATTTTTGTGATTTTAAGTGGATATATTAAGACTTTTCTCCTTGAGTTCACCTAGGTGTCATTCATCTTATCATCTTATTATTAAATGTGAACTTTCTGGATTACGAATATTAAAATCTGACATCTAACTTAATCTAACATTTAAAACTTCTCTTTGTGAAAAGTTTGCTTAAAAAATGTGGTTCTTCTTTTTTTTTTTTAATGAATGACACTACATTTACATTTGTTATAGGCCTACACTACAGTGGTTTCAAACATTTTAAGTGTGATTTAACTGTCCAAATATTTTCTGTAGATTTCTGAGGGCATTTTCAGAAATGTGACCCTCAAGAATAGCAAAAAAGTACAGACACAGAGCATCAGATGGTGTTTGTTTCTGTTAATACTACACATCACACACACAAACACTGGTAACACACAGCACAAACGTTAAAGGGATAGTTCACCCAAAAATGAAAATGTGATGTGTATCTGAAACAAAGTCACCTACATCTTAGATGCCCTGGGGGTAAGCAGATAAACATTACATTTTCATTTTTGGGTGAACTATCCCTTTAAGTCAAATCATCTATTTCAGGTCTGTACTTCTCTCTCCTCTTGGTCTAGAAACAGATTACTGGAAAACATTCACTGTAGATCTCCTTAAATCGGATTTAACGGGTTTTATCTGAATGAGATTAACTTCTGCCCTCTCACAGCACAACAAACAGAAGAACTGCATACATATATATATATATATATATATATAAATATAAACAGAAGAGTTTAATATTTGTTATTGCTAGCTGATGAATTCACAGTAGCAAACCAAACCAAACGTTACTGCTGGACTCCACCCAACACATAAAAAGTGACAAACTGACGGATGAACAGTAGACTCGTGTCATAAACACACTACTGAAATGTTTTCTCTGAGCTGAAAGCATGTTGTGAACAGACCTGGGGGTGTTTGTTGCCTGCAGAAAGCGCTGCTTTTGTTGCACTGCTCAGTTTCCGGGTGCGCGATGCAGCGTCTGACCGGTGCCGGGGAGGACCAAATAACCCAATGTCAAAAACGCGATTTTCAAAGTAAACAACAAAAATTACCCAGATATTGTTTTAGTAAACTTTTTGCTTTAGTTTTATCCTATCGATTATCACAGCTTCCATATGTAGCCTATATTTGCTCTTTCGTCTCAGCAATGCTACAGACACAAGGGTACATCAAATCTTCAAAATGAGCCAACACCTTTAATATATTATATGATTAATTTCCATATTATGCATTATAGCCTATGCAGAATTTAATCAGAGCTGTATTTTCAAACAATGACTTTTGAATGAATTAACATTTTAATTAGGGTGTCATTAATGTAGCCTACACTAACAGCAACTAAAACAGACGGCAAAACTTCCTATCGGCTTTATCTCAAATCAAGCACATGGACAGCAGCATTTGAATATTTCAAAATAGAATAAAATTAAATTAAATGCCTAACTATAAGGCCTATAAACTGTAAAACGTAGCCTACAATTGACCATTTCAAGTAGGCTACTGTCAATGTAAACAGCACAACAAATATTACCTTTTATATGATCTAATAGTTTTACTCTGTTGACATCTGATATTTTTAGCTTCATTTAAGTTGTATGTATTATTGATAGTCAATGAGAGACTCCAGTAATATTTCAGTTACTGATTCAACATGTGGCTTAAAGCCACATTATGTATTATTACACATTACAGTCATCTTTCTGTAATCTATATCGTTAGATCACATACTTTCACTGTTGATCCACCGTGAACTGCAAACCCAGGATAGAGCGGCTGAGTGAATGTGGTCTGGACTCTGGATGAGGCTCATTGTGTCAGAGACGCTGTAGAAGGACAGAGTTCCTGCACTGTGATCCACATACACTCCTATTCTGCAGCGACCGTATGGTACAGGAAGATCAGTGGAGCTGTTATTGTGCCAGAATGAGTAAAGTAAGGCAGAGCAGTCCAAAGGACTGATCATTGCATCCAAAAACACACTCGTTTCTCCCTCCTTTCCTGCTGATGCTCTTATATGATACTACTGACATATCCACACCATCATCACCACTCCACTCGAGCTCCCAGCGGCAGCGTCCACACCCGCGGGAGCGTCCACACACACACACACACACACACACACACACACACACACACACACACACACACTCTCTACACAACACCTGAGGATAATCCTCAAATCTGTCTGGATGATCAGGACACTGCTGGACTACGTTAGGGACATTAACCACTCCATTCCAGACGGAGATGTTCATTCACTGCGTTTGGATCCAGAGTGAACTTACTGTAATCTAAAAGAGATCAAACACAAAATCATGTATTAAATGTAAATGCATTTAATCTGTAGGCCTCTCTGGGGCCTACAGCAGTGTAACAATTGATGTATATCAGAAATTGTGCAACAAATATATCATCTTATTTGCATTCTCTCTGATCAGTGTAAAAACAATTGAATCAGTGGAAAGTCCTGATAACGATAGAAGTGCCAATGTGTGTGTGTGTGTGTGTGTGTTTCCACTGTGTCTTACACTGCAGGAACTCCTCCCTGATCTTGGGTTCATTGGTGGGAATAATTTCAACATATGTTACTAAGAAAAAATAAACAGGCATAATTAGTATAGTTCCCATTACACGTTTTTATATTCCATGATGACTAAGAGTAAATGAAAGTCTGCTACTTTACCGTTGCCAGATATCTTGTCTATCTCCTCTCTACAGAAACCCTGCAGTTTTTCTTTCAGTTGATAGAGGGACTTTCTCACTTCATCAAAAGAGAGGAGAGAGCTGACAGTGATGCTGGATGTATCTGCAGATTCAGGAGATACAGCGAGAGACTGGAAACTCTACAGGAAGAAATAAACACAAACAATAAACATACAAAACAAAACCCTTAATGACATCCAAACATCCACCACTGGTCTGTACAATCATATATTATCCTGCTTGTTTATATCGGCACTTTATTTGCAATAGTTGCGCCATTCTGGTATTAATCATATTCTTGGTGTTCTCCTGGGCTCCTCAGGTGTAATCTAGCACTTCTGTTCTAGTAATTTTACATATGTCTAGTAATTAAGCTGAAATTTAAAAAGCATCTAATTGTAAGGTCATGTTAAAACCACATTTCTCTATTTCAGATGTGTTACCTTGAGAAAAAGGATGTGATCATTTGTGTGAGAAAGTTGCTCCAGCTCAGCATCTCTCCTCCTCAGTTCATGAATCTTCTGCTCCAGTCGATAGATGAGTCCTTCAGCTCGACCCACTGCAGCCTTTTCCTGTTCTCTGATCATCTGCATCACCTTAGAGTGGCTTCTCTTAATGAAGATCCTCTCACTGTCCTCTACTGCTGTCTCTGCAGAGCGCTGTTAAACACACATCTAAATCAGCTCTTACTGGTGCCTGCGACCCACAATCATAAACAGAATCCAAGCAGAGTCTCGAACCTCTGTTCTTCTCTAAACTCACCTTATGAGACTCCACTGCCTCTCTCAGCTCCTCAAGATCTTTGCTGGATTCTCTGCTGGAACTCTCTCTGTGTCTCGTTCAAAATGATCTGTATGGAAATTCAGTAAAACTGTAAACTTTAGAAATATTGCATACAACTGTGTTAGAAGTTACTACGTAATTTGCAGTCTATATAGTGAGAAACTGCCAAAAAGCTGAACAAATATGAAGAATTAGAATGAAGAAACTAAATGAATCACGACTCAAGACAATATACATAGTTATTTATAATAATAAATAATAAGGCAGCAGCGTACATTAGACTTCTGTAAATTAATTTCTAAAAATAAGAAACTGATTATGAGTACATGATCACTGACAACAGTTCATTGGCTGATGGCATCAACAGTGCATGCCTAAAAGGAACACTGGACCATCAATCCTCAGATGTTCGTGTGAAGAAATAGTAGCTGTAACTACTGTAAAATAAGATAATGCCAAAGAAGCAACACTTCTAGGATAGTGAATTTAAATGCCAAAAGGTGAGTTCAACCCAAGCTCCTTAAGTAAGAGAAACTGCATCCTTTACCGAATGTGACTTCATTTGTTTCTTAGCAGCAACACCCTTGTTGTGGCCCACAAATCAAGAAAACAGCTGATTAGATTTACACCACTGGCTTATATGCAGTCAATGTAAATCCATTACAGGACAAACACACATATAGGGCAATGCCTGCACAATCTCTCAGCCTTCTGCAATTCAAAGGGCATAGGAGAAAATGACTGCAACACTACAACTTGAGAGCAATCCAACCTTAGGTAGTTAACCTAGCTTCAGCAGCAAAACTTTCACCTGACTGAGAGCAAAATCCCTAAGGATAGACTCACCAATAAGGGTGTTACACTGACAACAAAATCATCTTAAGAGTGAGAAGCTGAGTCAAGTGGCTCCCATTAAATCTTTTAAGACTATAGATAAGTACCAAGAAGGAGCACATGCAGAACTGAAAGGTCTCAGCCATTAATCTCATGCATGAAATTATGGAATGCCAGCCCTGCCATAATTATAAAGAAAGAAATGTAAAAAAGCAAATATAAATAAATAAATATATAAATATACAAAAAAAAGTAAAAAAGCAAAAATAAAAAAATATTTATGTTTATTTAATTATTTATGTATTTTTTTTCCACATTTTTTTATTTTTATTTATACATTTATTTATTTCCACTTTTATTTATTTTCACATTTATGTATTTATTTATTTTTTTCACATTTATTTATTTCTACATTTCTTTGTCCGTAGGGTAATGAGGAGGGCGTGTTTTACCTCAGGAATAGCAATCGAGCCAGAGTAGGCGAGGGGTAAGCGTTGAGGCCACAGTGACACCTTGTGGTGCCAAAACGAAGTACAAAAAGTGTAGCCTACATGACACGCCTGTTGATAGTGTGGGATGAATGATTTAGATGGGCAATATGGCCAAAATCTTATATCACGGGTTATTATTTCAGTTTCACGTAGGGGGTTGTTTCGGCTGGGAAGCGTGCAATCTGTGATCACCTGCATTTGCTGAAGCTTGTGAAAGCGTGCAATCACTTTCTTATGCAAGCTGTTTTTTTAGGTTTCACTTTCAATGCATACAATGCATGTTTCAAAGATTCGGGATAGAAGGAGGCATCAATTAGCCTACTGTAGAAGATTTGCCGCCTCGCGCCACTTCCCGTGTGGTCACCGCATCAACTGATTATAATGGGTTCTCTTGGTGTAGACATGCTTTAGATACGGATTAATCCAACGCTATCTCACGACCAATTCGTATGTATTTTACAAGGTGGCTAATTCGTACAACCTCACTCCTACGATTTTGTATGATTTGTCTAGACCCCAGTGACGGTATGTTTAGGGGTGGGGTTAGGTGTAGGTCATTCGTACAAATTCATACGACTTGTGCAACTCATAAAATACATATGATTTAGCACAAATCGTATGAATTTGTATGAGTGAGCTCACCAGGAATCTGCCACCTTGTAAAATATGTACAAATTGCCTTGAGATCGGGCTGATTAATCACACGTCTTAGGCTGGAAATATCCAGAATTAGATCAAACAAAAGGTGTCCATGGGAACGGAGCTAGTGAAACACACACTTGTAGCCTAAAACATGTTTAATATTTGCGACTGACACCAATGATTGTATGCGGCTATGCAGTGGAGATGCGTTCACTGTCAATCATTCAGCATTCATTTTAAAATTTTTTCAAATATTTGTTTTATTTCGTTCTAACCTGTAACTCGGGAAATGTAACGGAAAAAAAGCCTATTGTTTTTATTACTTAAAACCAATAAATTTTTAAGCCCTGATTTTAGACATACATGAGATAATATATTATTGTTTGACTAAACGTTTAAAAATAACGCTAGACATGTTATAATTAAGGGAATGAAACATAGGCCTAGGCATTTTAGAAATGTTATAATTAAGGGAATTAAACATAGGCCTAGGCATTTAAAAATACATAATGAAATGTGTCTTCTCAAGCAATAATTCCAA